ATTGTAAAAGGAAATATGAAAGAGCTGTAAATGTGCTCACATACTGGAGATATTATCTTGTGTTGCATGTGCATGTAGTATGCTTTGCTTTCATTTTGTATAAATACAATAAAATAATCAAATCAATACTGATAGTACTATCACCTTTTCTTTCCAGCCTAGCTGTTTAAATCCCTAAAAATATTCTGTCGCTTAAAAGAAAACCTGAACATTACTAAAAAATAGCAGTCATCCAAATAGATCCAGGTGGGTAGCTGTGTTGGTCCAAAACAACGGAGCAAAGTTTGAGTCCAGTGTACACTTCTTCAAATACATGCACATGAAAGCTTATACCCAGAATTAAACTTTGTTGGTCTTAAAGGTGCCACTGGACTCAAACTCAGTCACCCAAATACTCAGGCTTGAATCCAAAGAACAGCAAGAAGAGCTCCCGTAGAGGGAGGGAGAGGGATTTTCATCCCTGGCCTTCTACAAACTCTCCTGCCACATCCCATGCAATGACCCAGGATGCCCCAAATGTCAAAAGCAGCTTTACTGAACACGGAATCAGCAATGATGCTGGTGAAGCATTTGACTTCCTCTGAATGCAATGGCAGGCTAGCCAGTTTGGTATAGTGCATAAATGTGCGGACTCTAATCTAGGAGAACCGGGTTTGATTCCCCACTCCTCCACTTGCAGCTGCTAGATGACCTTGGGCACACCATAGTTCTGTCAGAGCTGTTTTTGAAAGCGCAGTCCTCAAAAGTGCTCTCTTAGCCCCACCTCCCTCACAGGGTGTCTGTTGTGGGGAGGGGAAGGGAAAGGAGTTTGTAAGCCGCTCTGAGACTCCGAGTGAAGGGCGGGGTATAAATCCAGTCTCCTCCTCCTCCTCCTCCGAAGGTAAGCAAGGTCAGCCCTAGTTAGTATTCTGATGGGGCACCACCAAGGCAGTCTAAGATTGGTACGCAGAGGCAGGCAATGGCAAGCCACCTCTGTTCAACTCTGGCCTTGAAAATACTGCAGGTCACCGTAAGTCATCTGCAACTTGACAGCACTTTCCACCGCCACCATTGGCTGAATGGTGTGAGGCCTTTGGTTTAACTCGCCCACTTGGCATTCCACTTTTTTGTAGCACAGAAACTCCACTGAGATCATCAGAATGAAATCACTACATAATGATCAAGTCACCCTCTTATCTTTCAATTTTTACAATAGTTCACTGTAGTCAAAGTGTCAGACTGGGATCTAGAAGTAAAGGTAAGAACATAAGAACATAAGAGATGCCAATGTTGGATCAGGCCAAAGGCCCATCCCGTCCAACACTCTGTATCACACAGTGGCCAGAAATACCAGGTGCCATCAGGAGGTCCACCAGTGGGGCCAGGACATTAGAAGCCCTCCCCCTGTTGACCCCCCCCCCCAAGCACCAAGATGACAGAGCATCACTTGCCCCAGAGTCCCTATCTATACCTTGTGGCTAATAGCCACTGATGGTTTCCCTTGCTCGAAAGCCAGTCGAATCCAACTCTAGGGGGCGATGCTCATCTGCGTTTCCAAGCCAAAGAGCCAGCGCTGTCCGAAGACATTTCCATGGTCATGTGGCCAGCACGACTAAATGCCGAGGCGCACAGAACGCTGTTACCTTCCCACCAAAGCGATACCTATTTATCTACTTGCAATTTCTTGCTTTCGAACTGCTAGATTGGCAGGAGCTGGGACCAATGCTCCCTATAAGCTGTGGAGTCTTGCGAGCAAAAATTCTACTTTGTGAGCTCCTGGCATTATTTATTTATTAAAGTTTCGAGCGAGCAACTTGGATGCTGCATAAAGTAGTTTGCTCTGGAGCCATCCTTCCTGAGCTAGGACAAAAAATTGTGAGCTGGAGGCTAAAGCACTGTGAGCTAGCTCACACTAACTCAGTTTAGAGGGAAACACTTGCCGGGACCTGAGACAGGAGCTCACTCCGTCATGCGGCACTAGGGTCTCGAACTGCCGAACTACCGACCTTCTGGTCTGCAGCTCAGCGCCAGTCACTCACTCTCTTCCAGCCTAATCTATTTCACAGGAACATTGTTGTGAGGCTAAAATGGAGGTGGGGAGAACAAAGCAGTAAGGCACAATCCCCAGATACTAGTCCACGAGGACTAGAAAGGTACGAAAAAGAGTGCAATGCAACACCACACGGAACACGGAGATATCAGAATGAAAGTGTATGACATACTTAACTAAGTGAAGTCTGAACACCTGTTTTCAAGAATAGAAAGAAAGAGGACTGGTGCAAACTGGATCGCAACATGACATCAGAAGCAAAGGCTCTCAAGCACTGTGATCTATCCGTCACGTTTGAGAGGAGAGGGTTAACTATCCGAAGAATGTCAACAATGAACAACAACAAATAGTATTCGTTACTACAGAAGCTTCTAAATAATAGTTGCATGCACAACGGCTTAGGAAACACTGCTAAAACAGCCTGTGTTGCAGCTGCTATACACTGTGAAGTCTACATACATTTGGGGAGCAGTCCAAAGAAAGTCTACTCAGAAGCAAGTTCCATTCTAGTCAATGAGGCTTAATCCAAGGAAACTGTTCTTAGGATTGCAGCATTACTGATAAGAGTTCTTAGTTCTTCCATCTGCAGAACAGAAACTGAGCAACAGATAGAGACGTACCTAGTTGAGACCAGAACTGAAGCTGCATTGGAACCCATCTCTCACAGGTCCAGATCTAGTGCTTTGCCATTGGATCATACTGTGATCATATTACAATATCATATGCCAATCTGAGCTGCAGACCGGAAGGTCAGTAGTTCAGCAGTTCCAGACCCTCATGCTGCGTGACAGAGTGAGCTCCCGTCTCGGGCCCCAGCTCCTGCCAACCTAGCATTTCATTTATTAAGCGATAGCCTATGGTGCCTTTACTCAAGACTGGGAACAGCCACTTGCCCAATAGCCTGCCTGTGGTATAAATGGTATAAATATTATTGTGGAGTCTGAACTGATCATATGGACTTGGCCTAAACTGGAATGCCCGGGGAGAAGCCAGAGCCTGTGAAAAAAGGAGGGGCAACTGTCCAAGCACCCATCAGGGCTTGGAGGATGTGGAGGGGGTGGAAAGTGCCATCAAGTTGCAGCTGACCTATGATGACCCTGTAGGGTTTTCAAGGCAAGAGGTGGTTTACCATCGCCTGCCTCTGCGTGGCAAGCCTGCACTCCCTTGGTGCTCTCCCATCCAAGTACTTACTAGGGCCAGCACTGCTCAGGTTCCAAAATCAGAGGAGAACTGGGCAAGGATGTGACCCCTTCAATCTAGCTGAAGGCAGGGGGCAGATGTACATCACAGTGTACGAACAAACAGCAGCTCAGATTCTGGAACAGGCAGAGAGAGAAGCTGCGAGGCAGAGAAAGACTCTTCTGTGAGTTGGCTAAAGCTCCTTGGGGTGCAGTATTCCTTTCTCTCTCTTTGGGGATCTGATGTGGCGGAACGGCTGCCCTGTATAAGTGCTTCCATCTGTGCTCTACTTGTACTTGTGTAAATAAAGCAAGACGCTACAAAAATGTTGTATCTCTCCCATGCTCTCTTCTCCCAAGGGAACCGACACAGGTAAGAACTGTCCCTGGAACTTCCTGCTGTTTGAAGAAGTGGGGAAAATACAGACCAACAATAATAGTCTATGTAACAAGGCAAGGCCACTATTGTAGATCAGA